CCATTCATGAGAATGCGGCTACATGAAATGCGGCGGAAGCCCGAGACGTAGGTCTGAGGTGAAGGACTGAGGTGGAGGTTCTATATCGAGGCCCCTTGAGGTTGAGGCCCAATGTGGAAGCCTGAGGTAGAGGTCCACTGCCACACTGGAGGCTTGCTGGACTGTTAAACCGCTGCCACACGCTGAACATGCTTCTCCATCTGTGACCTCTGACCCTGAGGCTACACTGCCGCCTAGAGGCCGCCAGTCATCCTGCAGGCTCATGTTGCCAGAGGTCACCTGACCACCTCTTCTGGTTAGAAAGGCTTTGTTGGCGGGCAGATGAGTAGGTAGAGCCACTATTAGGGTGCACTGTATTTATTCGACAGATGAAGGGTGGTGCTTCATCTGGGGCTCTGAATCTCGCTGGCAGCATGACAGCTACAGCACTGCGGGATTGGAGGTGCAGGCCTGTGATCAGCCAATTCTGCACACAGCTGCCTGCCGCAGACCATATTCCACACAAGGGCTCAATTTAAAGTCAGGTATCTTCATCACTTACAGGAATTTAATTGGATGCAGTTTCAAGGTAGGTGGGTCTGACATTTACAGGCATTTACATTGATGCACTTTAAAAGTGGGCATGTTTATCTCTTTCAAGCTATTTAATTGTATGCTATTTAAAGGTGGGCGTGTTCATCACGCAAAGTCATTTAATTGGTTGCGATGTAAAGGTGGGTGTGTACATCAGAGGTATTTAATTAAATGTTTTTATTTTTTTTTTTGATTTGATTGGATGTAATTTAAAAGTGGGTGTGTGCATTACATGTAGGGATTTAATTGGGTGTGATGTAAATGTCGGTATGTTAGTCAGGGGTACTGAATCAGGTGTGATTTGGAAGCATGTGCATTCATCCGCAGGTGTGATTACACGGTGGTCATGTTCATCACTTGGTGCATTTGTCTGTTTTGACTGGATCTCGGGCATTTGCCAGAACCCCCCCCCCCACTTCTGCTTCATTGTTGAACATCCTGTTTTGACTCCTGTTGGCTTGTGAACTTGGTCTGAGCATAATAAAGCCCACCCCCCCAGCATCGCTGGGAG